TTTATTTGTTTAAAAGAACAACGCCGAAATTTGGCCGAAATTTGGGGAGAGGAGGGGAGGGGAGGGTACACGGGGACCCCGGCAAGGCCCCCCAGAGGGTCCTAGGTTAGTTACGCTGATCCTCCAAACAACAGAGCCTGCGCCTTTGAGATGTGCCCTGGTTAGCGAGTTGTGAATCCCCACGCCAGACGAAGCCCCGACACAAAATGAAGCAGCCGCCCTGGTTACCTTATTTTGAGGGGTTGATAAGGCATTATCGTTCCCTGCCCGACACCCTGAAAGGACGGTAACTAGAGGCCCTGGTTACCTCATTTTGGGAGTTGAACGATTCCTTGGCCCACACGGATAATCAGGCCAGCGAAAAGCAAAACCCCTTCACCAAACTACCCCACAGAACCTCCCTGACCGCACTGTAAACATCCGATCTGAGGACTGCTGCTACTACTGGGTGGTGGCCAATTAAATTTTGGTGTCGGGCTTTGGAGCTACCTGTGACCTGCTGGACAGGGCGTCCAGACGGGCCTCCAAAAAGCACTTGCTGTCACTGAGTCCAAGCCGTGTGTGATGTGTGGCCATCCGACGTACTGTCTTTTTGCGATTCGGTGTCCTGCTGCCGTGCCGCCTGGTGCTCACAGGTAGTCTCTTCTTCACGGTTCAATGATGCTGCACTACCTCGTCTAAGCCTTTTCTGAGACTGTAGTCGCAGTCCAAGCCAGGTCTTTTTCAGCAGCAACTGTGCGGCAGTATCCAGAACAAAGAGAACAGAGCATCCGTATCGAAATCCCAGCAAGCAAACTGAGCCTCCACCCCAATGCTCCCAAAGTAAATAAGTAAACACTGCCGACGGAAGCGCTTCCGCTGGCCTGAAGCCCCGAGGCTAGACGTGGGGCAATATTGGTGTTTGCAGTGCTTTTGCATAAATCTTGGCCCGCAGGAGAGCTCTTTTTTTCCGAAGACGCCAAGAGCAGAGGCCGTGGCACAAGGGGGGCTGCTCCCCGAATCCCAAGCTGCAGGACCGCGAAAGCGAGCCCGTGCGCGGTTGTAGTACAGACAGCAAAGTTAAAAGCCCTCGTAGGAGCCCGTGCCCCGAGGCGCATCCCGGGTTCCTGCCTCTGTAGTACAGATAGAAGGCGAGGGCTTGGTCCGAGGCTTTTTGGAAGGTTCCAACGTTCTGCTTGGGGTAGGCAACGTTCTGCCTCGGCCAAATTTCTCGGGAGCGTTCTGCTTGGCCGAGCGTTCTGCCTCAACGTTCTGCTTCAGCAAAAAGTTTTCGCACGTGCGCGCCACCATGCCGCAACAAAAAAGCTGAAGCAGAACCATGAAACGCAAAATGTCTTAGAAACCAATTATTGGAGTGTCTCAAGGATACGCAGAAATAGCGCGTTCTGCCTCAACGTTCTGCTTCAACAAATCAGTGCGCGCACGTGCCCGCCACCATGCCACTTTTTTTCTTAAAAAACGACCAAGCAGAACCATTGTCGCAGGGAAACCACCAAGCAGAACCATTGTCGCAGGAAGTCAAGGGGAGCCATGGACAAATGGCTGTCGACCAAGCTGCTGGAGCTTAGAAGGCCCCTCGGCACTATTGAAAGCCCCCAACGTTCTGCTTCGTCCTAAGGTTCTGCCTCGTTCATGCAACGTTCTGCTTCGATTACCCGAGGACAGAGGACACAGATCAAAGGACGAAGCTGATCGAGAAATTCCTCTCGTTTCTCGATATCGTGGATGACAAGATCAACAAAGAAGAGCCGATCAGTCCGAAAATCGGTTGTGTGTCAAGAGCAGCCTGGGAGGTTGCTTGGAGGCATGCCATGCGTGTGTTTTTTTTGCGTGGACTCAACATCAGCTTGCGAACTGCGTAACTCCAACCAGTCAAGGCTCTCCTCGACGACTTCAGAATGGACGCGGCTATTCTGGGAGTCCCCCTGCGACCAACCAAGCCGCAGAAGCCAGACGACGCAGCCTCCGACAGCGCGCCCAGTTCTGCCAGCCCTGCCTCAGCTCTCCCTGGCGGCCCTCACACGGACTACATCGTGAAGTATCTGCGAACCCACAAGGGTATATTGCAGGTCCACATAGCCTCTCGACTCCTGCTCAGACTGTTTGTTTGTGCCTTGCCCTCTTGTTTCCTGGCCAAAACACCGATGAGCCCAGGTGCCCACTGCAGACACCTTCACTCAGGGCTACACATGCCTGCTGCGTGTGAACGAAATCTGGCCGCAGTTGTCCAGGAACCAACCTTTCCCGAATTGGTACTGCAAATTGCGACTTGCCTCAACTTCAGACGGCCGGCAGGCGACCTGCGTGACCGCAACCAGTCCGTAGATATATCAGCCAAGGCAAGACACTACGGCTGGAGACCTGCAGACTGTTTGGGCGGTGAATTGCTCGCGGCACATTCTCCGCGCCAGCAATTACAAAGGCAAGCGCATTGACACGGAGGAGCAGCCTGTGCGGATCCCCTTTAACGGGCTGACCTTCCCAGGCTACTTTTTGACAGCTCCTGGGCCGCATAATAAATAGAGAAGAGTCGGATTCTTAAATCCCGGCCAAGCACCCAGAGTCGACTTCTGGAGCGTATCCCCAGGTCGCTTCGGTGCTGCAAGTACGCAGCTGCAGCCCCAAGCATCAGAAAGCTGCGCTGGCTGCCATCAACCTGGTCTGCACGCACTGCATCCCAGCAAATGTGACAGTCGAGCTCCTGCCCCATGTGCCGGTGTGCAGCTTCAGTTGCAGGCAGTAATTACGTTTGACAGCTGCCGTCATGGAGTCGCACAAAACCCTGTGGTCCTTCCTTCTGTAGGTACTTTAAAGATCGAGGACGGCGAAGTGAATCTGGAGGCTTGGGCAGCCACATTGGACTTCGTCGGCTGGAGTGACAGGCCACATCGCTCGAAGTCGTTTTGTCTGCGAGCAACGCGGTATGTGTGCCTGGAGATGCCAGGTGGAAAAGAACGAAGATTTTTTCGAGTGCACAGCAGAAGCTCCAGACAGGTCGTCCTGTGTCTGCTGTCAATGAATGTCGCATCTTACATATCTCGAATCGAACCGCAGAGGCATTCCGCTGTCCTCCGTGGCATGGTTCATCCTGCGGGGTGCACACGATGAGCTCGTGTGCCAGGAAGCTTGGTTTTTCAACTGAGCGGAACAAGAGTCGCTTCCTCTTCAATAAAATTAGATCTCATACGTACTTGTTGTCAGGGCCGCTGCCGGAATGGTCGGCTGCAGAAGAGATTGATTCACATCTTGAGCCAGAAGGCCGAGGTGACCACCCCGGCCAAGCTGCTTCACGTCATGCCACCTCCCTCGGCTGACCACGACTATCACCCGGCGCGACAGCAACTCGGTGTAGCAACCCATGTTTGCTGCATTTTCCTCATGCATCATCAGACCTGTCACGCCGTAGAAGTCTTCCTCCGAGGGACGGCAGATCTTTGCGGATGGACATCAAGCCCAAGAACCTGGTTTCCATGAACCGATGGCTGCACAAGGCCTCGGGAACCCTGGGTGGCACAGACGACACACTCGTCAGCCTCGGCTTGGAAGACGTGCTTCCTGCTCACGCGAATCGGTTTCCGAGATGCAGCTTGGCCTCTTTTGTCGTTTCAAGAGACAGCCTTCTTCGAAGCGAGGCTAGCCAGCGATTTTTTGTATCGCTACTGGCAGAAGTCTGCCAACGAGATCCGAAAGGACCAGTAGATAAGAGCGCAGGCACCGAGCACATGGAAAGCACGATCAGTCTTTGTATCTTTCAGGACCTGGCCGGCCAGGACTTTCGCTCTATTCTGGTCATGGCAGACTCGAGCCCAAAAGGGTCTTTGGACGCAGCTTGGCAGTCGTTGGCGACTGGTTGCCAAAATTGCCACCCATCCATGGCCATGTTAAGACTGAGGTGTGGAGTGCCGTTGTCTATGCTGGTCGATGTGCAGCCAGCATGCCTTTGCAAAAGCTAGCTGACCTGCAGACCTCCACGGCCTCTGTCTCCACGAAGCTGGACGAGGCACAGAAGGTGGCTGACAACTGGGCGAGCAACGTCGCCCAGGGAAGGGAGGCCAGTGCTCAGAAGCTGTTTCTCGGATTGCTTGGCCTGTGATGCTTCGTAGCCTGGAGCAGCAAACCGCTTCTGGAAGCTAACGTCATGCCAAGGCCCAAGACGCTGTCCAGAATCAAGCAGAAGAAACTAGCCGCTCGAGAGCAGCTCCGCTGCGTCCTGCACGTGTTGGACATCCTGGGTCTTGAACTGCTGTTGCCAACGACGAGACTTCGCCCCATCGATCTGAGTGCAGGCGAACAGAGAATCGCCAGGAAAAATCAGCATTTCCTGTGGAGCAAAGACAATGGCGAGGCCTCCTGGGATGCCATCACGGACGCTTCACGTCAAGACCTGAGGCTGATCCTTGCCCCAGACGAAGGGAGCAGTTTGTACTGTTCCTTTGCATGGATGGCAAGTGCCGGATTTCCAGTCATCCTTCTGCGGGACGAGCTGCGCCTTGACTTTGATGAGATGCACTAGGCCGGGATTTTCGGGTATGCTTCTGCAGGGAAGCCCGAGTGGAAGCGTTAAGACCGAGGCACAAGTTGTCGAATCACTACCTGCGAGTGATGCACTGCAACCCAGGTGTAGCCAGTAACTGGGACGGCAATACTGTGGTAAGCCTTGCAGGTCAAATGAGCCGCACGCTGCATCTGCCCGCTCAGTTGAGGAATGTACAGCTTGACTTCTTGGCTCATGAAAGCGCGGAAATGCCCGTGGCAGACGAACAAAGTGGGCAACAGCTGGAAGGAAGCAGCTGCAAGGTACTTGCAATTTGCAGCTTGGCCTGCATGGACAACCTTCCACACAAAACGAAACAGACGTCTTGTTTTGGACTGCCGAGCACGAGAGGCTCTCGAGGTTTGGGGTTCGGCGCCGATATATTTTTAAGTGCAGACAGACGCGCACTCATGCCTTTTAAGTCTTCGTTCGCCTTTTCTTCCCCTCCCCTCGTTCGCTCGCTCAGTCGCTCTCTTT